TACTACCCCAAAGCTCAGAACACTGACTCCCAGCACAGAGTGGGCCAGGCCCCAGTGGGGGGCTTGCATCACCTAGGGGATTAAGTACACAGGTGCCAGCACTGTGCTGGCATTAGAACACACAGGCCACTCTTGTCACGAAGTCACCCTTCCTTGAAGCCTCATTATATCCAACTTTGTCTGTAAATGGGGAAGCCAAAGGCATGAGCTGGGGGCCTGAGGCTTGGTGGCACCAGCAGAGCCCCCAGCACCCACAGGCATGGGCTGCCATTGGCACTGGACTGTTCTGTATCCATGGCTGACAGCGCCAGGTTGACATCCATTCCTTAGACACACACCACTGCCCTCCTCCAGGGGTCTGCCACCACCCAGGTCTTCAGGGTGACCATTCATGTCCCTTGGGGCTGCTCCTTCAGGGAAACCTGCAAAGGACAATCTTATTTCCCTTATTCCCAGCTGCACTGGTGCAGCTCCCAGCCTCCACACCATGCTGATCTGCCTGGTCCGTGGCCAGTGACTTGACATTATCCCCGTTTTTATTCAAACAGCCCTGTTTTCCCAGGCTGCGTCTTAAGGTCCTCACTTCCATGTGCCCATGGAGAGAGAGCTCTGAACTCCACTTTGAAATCTGGGCCCCAGACAATCTACAGTGGAAACAAGACCTGGAAAATGTGTAAAGCCAGGAAGAAACTGAGCCCGCCCCTTTTTCTTGTCAGACTGGCCTCCATTTCAATCCCAGAGGAAGCAGAGGCGATGAGAGGGCTCCTGGTCAGCCTGCCTGCAGGAGCTTCCTCTCTGCTCTATGGAGGCCTGTGGATGCAGGGAGGCAAGGTCATGGGGTGGGAGTCACCACCATGGCCTAAAGCCACACACAGGGGACGGCCAGTCCCATGTCCCATAGATGACAAGTTGGGTCCTTCTTTTTCCTTTTTCTTGAGGAAGGGCTCAAATAATTCAACGTGTATGTTAAGTATAGGATGCCCTGAAGGAACTTCAAAATATTCTTGTTGAATTTGAAAAGATGTTGTATAGGTACAAATGTCGATATGAGAATGTTATTTTTGGTACAAAAAATAACATAATCACCAAACATGAATATTCTTAAAGGGAAAACAGAAAATAATTTCTGTCATCTTTGACTACATGAGAGCCATGTGAGTATCAAATTTATGGACTACCTGAGTCTATCTTTCTTTTTATAATTTTTTATTGTGATTTGGGTGGAAGTTCACAGAGCAGATCAGTTTTCCATCAACAGCCGTACATGTCCAATCCCCTGCCCTCTTCTCACTCTGGCCCCGCCTCCCAACCTGCTCACCTGGTAGGCAGCTTGTCTCATGAACTGCTTGGCGGGCTGCTTCCAGATGGCTGGCACCGTGATGACCCATCTGACGTCAGAGTTCCCGAAGTCTGAACCCGCCTGGTCGCTCAGCTCCTGAAGCCAAAGAAAAGGCAGCAGGTCAAGTGGGCACCACTGGTCTCTGAGAACATGTCCCTGTAGCACCCCTGTCCTGAATTCCACAGCTGCCTAAACTTACCAAAGTCAGAGAGTGAGAGTTCTAAGTGTTCAGCAAGCAGAGCTGCTCCTGGCGGCCCTTCACTCACTGAGGCAGGCGGATCAGAAGAAAATCCCTTTGACCGCCTCCTCACCATGGGACTTTGACCACCTCCTAGGCATGGGACTTTGACCACCTCCTAGTCACTGTGACTTTGACTACCTCTTAGACATGTGACTTTGACCACCTCCTAGTCATGTGACTTTGACTGCCTCCTAGTCATGTGACTTTGACCACCTCCTTTGACACGTGACTTTGGGCAAGTGACAACTTCTCAGACTTCAGTTTCCTTATCAGTACGAGGGGGACGGTAATAACAATAGCTCATGAGATTATTGGGAGGATTGATGACAGTGGTAATGATGGCAGACACATTCTCTGAGAACTTGTGTGTCAGCCCCCCTGTGGAGCACTTTCCTGCCTTATCTCAGGGAGCCCATTCAAGAATCTCTTTAGGGAGGGTTTATAGCTGTGCCCCTTTTCTACAGATGGGAAAACCGAGGCTTACATAGCCCAGGACCTTTTCGACAGTCTGACGGCTAGAAAGCAGTAGAGCCAAAATTTAGAACCAGACCAGGCTTGCCTTGTCCCTGAAAACCAAGGCCTTAACTAAACTGTTAATGAGGTCTCATATCTAGAACAGTGCCTGGCCCACAGTGATGGTTAACAGCTGGTGGCAGTTATCACTGTAGTGGTCACTGTCACCAGCCTTACTACAATGCCAGCCTATCAGGGGAGTTTTCTGACAGCACAGGAAGGCTATAGATGACATGACCTAACTGAGAACCATGTGGCCCTCAGCTGGTGGTTAACGACAAATCTCATCAGTGGGGCCCATCTGCAGAAGAACGGGATGGGCGGCCCAGAAGCAGCAGAGTTTTCCAGCAGGTCCACACAGAGCAAAATGCAGCCCTGGACTGTTCCAAGATGTCAGCGTGCCCATCTGGAAAATGGGTATAGTGACCCTCACTATAAACCTAACTCACAGCATAACTGGCAAGACTGAATGGGAACACATATGGGATACCCAGCCCAGAGCCTTGCCCAGAGAAGACCCTGGATAATTACTACCTCCTCCGTTCCTTCCCTCCTGTGGCCACATTCACCAGACAAATCTGAAATCACATCTAAACACACAATGACGGACTTATGCATCAGAAGAGTCATAGACTAGTAGAGGTTTTGTTGTTCTTTTTTAAGGGCATTTCATCTTGCCTATCATTTCAAGGAGTTATCTTGGGTCTGACCCACCCTCTCACTGAACTAACTTCCTCTTTGATGAGTAAACTTTTTAAAAATGTGTCTTAAAAACATCTCTGCTTTGGGCCACCATGAAGCAAATGTTCCATTTTATCACAATGTTTCACTTCCTAGCAGGGCTGCTGGGGATCTTTAAGGCAAGGAGCTGCATGACAGGTTTGCAGAATGGTTCTAAGCACGGTACCATGACCACGCAAGCTATTTAAAGCCATTTAAACCAGAAGACGTTCAAACCATGAATGAGCCTCTTCCCCGGGCTGTGGGAGAGCTGTTCAGATGGGCTGCTCCTTTACCAAAACCTAAACCCAACTCACGGCCATCGAGTCGACTCTGACTCGTAGCGATCACAGCAACCCTATTGGGTTTCCTAGGCTGTAAATCTTTATAGAAGCAGACCACCCCATCTTTCTTCCATGGAGCAGCTGGTAGGTTCAAACCACCAATCTTTTAGTTAGCAGCCAAATGCCTTAACCACTACACTACCAGAGCTCCTTGTTCCTCTACCAGTGGGTGGAAAATAACTTGGAAGGAAAAGGACCCTGACAAGTGCTTCACTGCTAACCAAAAGGTTGGTGGTTCAAACCCATCAGTCATTCTGCAGGAGAAAGATGTGGCAGTCTGCTTCCAAAAAGATTATAGCCTTGGAAACCCTATGCAGCAGGTCTACCCTATTCTAGAGGGTTGCTATGAGTTGAAATCAACTAGAGGGCAACAAGCTCCTTTTTTCCTTCATGACCAACTCAACTATCACCATCTGAGGTGTTCTTACTTTAGTCTATTCTGGTCAAACATGCAGGCACCCCTCCCCTCTGTGAATCTCTCTGTCCTTCAAACACCAGACAGGACAGATCTACACCTGCTCAAACCAGCTGCCATAATCGACCGAGACTCAGCACAACCAGTGTCACCCCACCTCGCACACAAAGTTGGTTGTCTCGATGCTACCTTCAGTGCCTGCTCCTTGAAGTACTGCAGTGCGTAAGCGAAGATTTCAAGGGCTTTGACTTTCTTGCCATTGGCTGCTGTCAGGTCTGTCTCCATGGTGAGGTCCTGATGCGGGGAAAGGAACGAGATAGTGAGAAGATGATGCAGGAGAGACCCACCTCCTGGCTTTGAGGACTGCAACTTGGAGTCTGGGAATCCCACGGAGCCAAACGTGTGTTTCCCCATGTCTGGGGAGACTAGGAAGGACTGGAAGCAGTGTCCCCTCCTCGTGGAGGAGACTCGGTCCCCATCTGCACTCTCCCTCTGTCTCTCTCTCTCTCTCTCTCTTCTGGATCCTCCGGAACAGGGGTTTTGGGTTAATGACAAGGCCAGGAAAGAAAAAGAAGGCAGCAGGTGGCATCCCTCCCCCTCATGCAATTTACATACTATATCCACACGTGAACACACTGGTCACCCTTGGGAGTCCCCTAATGGAGGCTGAAATCGGCCAACTCGCTGCTGTGTATGATGCTAAACAGACATGAAGCTCTCATTCCCAAACAAGCTGCCAACCAAGTCATCAAAATATTTGAAGGCTTGCTCTGCCTAAGCCCCCGGGAGTCCAGTATCACTGCGGGCCTCTCGCCACCAGAAGCTAGAGCAGCCGCTGAGCTCGGCCCTTGGATGGCGGATGCTCTGTGAGAACCCAGGTGCCGGGTGACCAGAGGTCATTCAAAATGATGAGGACAGTCCCTGGAGGATGGGGAGGGTCAAAGAGTGGAAGCAGAACACAAGAGGACGCCCCTAAGTCTCCCAGAACTGAGAGGCTTATTACTACCAGGAAAAAAGTCACTGAGGATTCCAGATTGATCCAGGCGTTGCCTCTGGACCATGAAAGGGCATTGAGTTACTGCTCCCCAGCCTTGTGGAGTCTGCATTGGGCCTCCTGACACATCCCCACATGCTCACACCTTCCACCCAGCCGCCTCCCACGCCTGGGGTGAGCTGTTGGGTGGCAGCTCCCAGGCTCAGAAGGGGGCCCAAGCTCCAGGAAGCCCCCAGCTTAGAGGGGAAGCCTGGGCTACACTGATAGCACTGGATTCCATCAGGGAAAATGGAAGCAAGTCGGACCCAGCAGAAAGCGGTCTGCCTTGGAGAGGGCCAGCCACATCAAAGGGCACAGAGCTGGTGGCTGAGTTCCCCATTAAGATATGTTTGTCTTCCACAGCACCTGACAGCAGACCCATGAAAGCAGTAACAGTAAGAGCGGAGACTGCTAGGGCCTACCAGGTACCATGCGGAAGGCACCATCATTACTCCATTTTACAGATTAGGAAAACCAAGGCATGGAGAGATTTGGATTAAGTATCTTGAAGGTAACACAGGCAGGATCTAAACCCAAGCTGTCTGGCCCCAAGAAGCATGGTCCTAAACACTGCAGCCATACTTCCTATTCTAAGTACTGAGTTAAGGAAAATTTATGGGATAAAATGCTTACATTGAAATAATTCCATCCAACGCCCCACTTTTTCTCTGAAGCTGCTTATCTCCCACAGCTTGTTTGGGAAAGCAAATGCCTTGGTCCCCTTACAGACACTGGTTTGCTGGGAGCAGAACTGAGGGCATGGCTTCGGGAGTTGTCTATGATTATTGGGCATTTGATTTCCTAGCTAAACCGTTTCCTGCACAGAGAGTTGGCACACTAGCTGTTACTGATTGTTACTTTCACACTGGCCAGTTAGTAGCCACTGGTCCAGGCCCTCCAAGTGTCCCCAGGCCCCATGTGCCTCCTTCAGGACCCTTGGTGGCCAAGCAATCCAGCAGGTGAAGGGGAACTCCTGGCATAACAGGATGCCTAGCACCCAGCTCCCACGCTACAGCCAATGTCCACATTGACTGGTCAGTTTCCAAGACAAGCAAGTTGTCAAAAATGCTGAATATGTGTCTGCCCACATGTCCATCAGAAAGTGCTGTGTATCCACAAAGTGTGTACACTCCTGGTTGTTTCGAAAACCAAAGTAAATGGCCATTAATGTCTGCTTGGGGGAAGCCTGAGGGCCCCTGGGTTGAAAAGCAGCCCCAAGGCTGGGGGACCCTTGGCTCTCCAATGGGGGCAGGGGGTAAGGCTTGCTCACCCCAGTGGTGTGCAGCTTCATTTTGAACTTCTCCAGGTACAGCCACTGCTTGGCCTCATTGGGGTCCAGGTCGTGGTAGAAGTCCCTGGCGGCATAGCCGAAGCTATGGAATTTCCTCTCGGGAGTCAACAGGATGGTGGTCGGAGTCTTCTGGTTGGACACTCCAGGATCACCTCCTTCCCATCGTCTGTCACCAAGGAGAGGGCAGAGGTTAGGGGACCGTGTTTCCCAGGTAGCACTGACCTGAGCACCTACTGTGTGCATGACTGTGGTAGACGTCCGTGCTCACAGGAGCTGCTACAGCTGCAGCCCGGGCCAGCTGGCTCAGCGAGGGACTCAAAGCACATCTACAGTTAAAAAGAGAAGTGAAAGGGGCAAGTTCCCAAGTTCTCGCTCAGCGACAAAGGTCTGGCTTCATGTATCCTCACTTTACATTTACTGAGCATCCACTGTGTGCCAGGCGCTGCTGACATGAGATGGAAGAGCCATGTCTCTGCTTCCAGTGAAGTTACAACCTATAACCAGTGGCCACTGAGTGGATCCGGACTCACGGCGACCCTGTGTGAGTCAGAGCAGAACCGTGCTCCATGGGGTTCTCAGTGGCTGGATTTTCAGAAGTTGATCACCAGGTCTTTCTTCCAAGGCACCTCTGAGTGGACTCAAACCCCAACCTTTGGGTTAACAAGCTCGTCAACCATGCGCACCACCCAGGACTCCTACAACCCAGTAGGCACTTCATTGCTTTTCCATTTGCAAGCACTCAACAGCAGACACAGCTCTGATCCTCTCTGAAACAAGGCAGGGCACACACGAATGCTCAATACCCACCTTGTCAGACGGGAAGTGAGGGGCCTGGGGAGATGCTGCCAGGGTCAGAGGAGGAAGAGGGACCGGCTGGTGGGAAACCAAAGAATGCAGGAGAAAGCAGGACCAGGGGGCACTTGAGGAAGTGGCAGACAATGGACCGTGAAAGAGGGAAGGCTCTGGGCATGCTGTAACGGGCACCGAGGACACCTGCTCCACACTGCTCCAAGCGGGCGAGGACAGGGGCATGGAAAGGGGATGCCAAGAGACAGTGTGGGTACAGGAAGAATATAAACGGGAGAAGTGGAAATGAGATTGGGAAGGCAGGTTGGAACCAGGCTGGGAGAACCCTGAGTAGTCAGAGTCTAATCAGTGAATAATAGGGAGCCAGCGAAGGTTTTAGAGCAGGAACATGGCAGAATCACAGCTGTTGCTCGAGAGAGCAAACTGTCAGCAGCATGAGGACTAGACTAAATGGACGCGGCCAGGAGCCAGGAGGCTGCAGAGGAGGCCCTGCCACCGTCCGGGAGCAGAGGTGACAGAGGCCAAACAAGGTAGAGAGCCACAGAGGGAGAGGAGGGGGTGGAGGGTGACAGGTCGTCCCAGAGGGAGAACACAGCCAGCTGGCCACAGTGTTGTGCAGGGGCATGGTGTGCATGGCGTTGCCCTCAGGGCGCAAGCCTGGGGGCCTGGGAGCCTGAAAGAGAGAGGGCCAGTCATGGAAGCCAGCAGCCCAGCCAAAGGGGAGGCTGAGGAACCATGGGGAACTCCATGGACATGCTGTCACTGAGGGGCCAATGGGCACCCCTGGGAGGGGTTCACAGGAGATTCAGGCAGGAAGTGGACCTGGCTGTAGCTAAAGGGGTGACAGCCACAGGTATAAGATGGGACGAGAACACTGAGTGGAGAGAGCAAGGATCATGTCCTGCCTGGCAGTCAGCTGAGGAGAGGCCAGAAGAGGTGAGGACATGGGCATGACAAACCGGAAGACAGATGCCCTGGGATTACATCCATGAACTGATGCGAGGGGCAACGGACAGGGGAGGGGAGAGGCTGAACCCCAGAGAAGCTTCCTTCCTCCTCTCGGACAGAAAGAATGGAAGTCGATAAAAGAGGGCAGTGAGCGGGCAAGTGACTCAATGCCTTCTCCTTCCTTTGGGACCACTGCCAAGCAGCCAGGGCTGCCAAGAGGCCAGGACATCCCCTTCCCTCCCAGCCCTGGCACGATAGGTGGGTCCCATCCTGCCACAGGCCACGTGGCCCCAGCAAACAGCCTCAGGTGGAGACACAGTGCATGCTGGGAATGAGCTCCCCCACTGCCCACTGAGGGTGGCTGTGCTCTAGCTGAGCTCAGACCTGCTCTCCACACTGCACTGTCAAGCATCAGTGGGACCAACCCAGTCCAAACGGAGAGGCAACCTCCGCCCAGGTTTGTCACTCGGATCTCGAATGTCCCTGGCTAATTTTCCAGTCCAGCTCTGTCAGGATGCAGGCTCCCACCCAGAGACTGAAGGCCCTGTGGTGACCGCATAGAGACACCAGGATGGGCCCGATCCTGCTGCCCTCTGGCCAGGCCGACCCTGGAGACCTTGCACCCTTGGCCCAAGCAGCAGCTCCACTGTGACCTGAGTTGCTCAGAAAGGGGCCCCTGTGCAGTGATTAAGCACTTGGCTGCTAATGGAAAGGTCAGTGGTTTGAACCCACTAGCTGCTCTGTGGGAGAAAGATGTGGCAGTTTGCTTCTGTAAAGATTTATAGCTTTGGAAACCCTATGAGACAGTTTTACTCCATCCTATAGGGTTGCTTATGTTGGAATCAACTAGACAGCAGTGGGTTTGGTTTGTTGCTTCCGATCAGCTCTAAGGAAGGTTGGCTGTTTGCTCATGGGGTCTTTTCATTAAAGGAAGCACTCATGGAAAAGCAATGGAATAGTAGCCAAAAAAAAAAAAAAAAAAAGCCTTTGCCACACAGGACTTAGTAAGATACGGAGAGGGCCAGCAGTTCAAACAACATTGTCAATTCTCTTGATTGTCTCTAGACGTCAATGCTTGGGGAAGTTACCAGCAAAGAGCCTGGTTAAATGCAGTCTATCTATGCCCTCCCCAAGCCCATCTATCCCAGAAGCTAAGGAACATCAGGTCCTAGATGGGCTCAATACAGACGGCATAGTTGGGAAAAACAGAAAGCCCAGCCCCTCTCATGGCCCAGGCTTGTTTTTAGCTCTGTGAAGGCACCATCATGTTGGTACTGCCCGAGCAGCTGTCTCTCAGGGATCTAACCTGAGCCGCCAATCCAGAGGAAAATCTCAACTGATGCTACTGACCACCTTGAGGGTGACCACCTGTTCCAGGTACGACACGGGGACCCAGGGCATCTTCCTGCTACATGTGAAACCTACTGAAGACATTTAGGTCTGCACCAGTGATCAAAAAACAGGGGCGAGTTTGGGAAAAAGAAAAGGAAGAAGCCCAAGAATTGGGGTAGGAGAGTGTGGCCTCCAGGCAGACCCTCACCCACCTCCACCATTTCCTACAGTGACTGTGAGCAAGCAGCTCAGCCTCGCTGTGCCTCATTTCCCTGACAGTACCTGACTACAAGGAGCTCTGGTGGTGTAGTGGGTGAGACATTTGGCTACTAACCAGAGGGTCAACAGGTCAAAGTCACCAGCTGGGAGGAAGATGAGGCAATCTACTCCTACAAAGATTTACAGCCCTGGAAACCCAATGGTGGTCACTATGAGTCGGAATCGACTAGGTTTGGTTAGGGTTGATTTACCTACGTACTACAGACAACGTGCTCACACAGCAGCTGTCACTTGCTAAACGGTGGGTAGTTTTATTACGCTCGTATCAATAAGTCAAACCAGTCATGTAGGTGGCTCATGGTCACCGATGTGTGTCAGAGTAAAACCTTGGGTTCCTCCTTAGGGTTCCTCCTACCCCCTCAACGATGGCTGATTTATTAGAAGTACACTGCCAGGCTTTGCTTCCAAGGCCCCTCTGGGTGGGCTCGGACCCCCCACCTCTGGTTTAGCAGGCAAGCACATTAAGTACCACCTAACATAGCTGGGCCAAATCAGGTTTTTCAAAATGATCTTTCCAATAAAATTACATATTTTGTTTGTTGTTTTATTTTTCCAAATTGTAATTTGTATCTTCCTTAACCTAAAAACCAAACCCTTTGCCATTGAGTTGATTCTGACTCGTAATAACCCTAAATATGTTGAAATACTCTCTTGAGGTTGGAGATGAACTCTTTTTTTAAAAAAGGGGGATAAAGAACAAATTTGGAAGGAAGGTTGGGCAATCTACTTCCGTAGTGATACTGCCTCGGAAACCCAAGGAGGGATCGCTATGGGTCGGGTCTGACTTGATGGCACATAACAACAACAACAACAAAGAACAAATTAACCACAAACCGTAACTATTGTTAAGGGCGTTGAATAAACTTCAACTCCTAGGGACCCTATGTGACGAGTAGCACTGTCTCGTAGGGTTTTCTAGGCTGTAACCTTCACAGGAACAGCTCACCACGAGTTCCTCCCACAGAGCCACTGGGTGGCGCTGAGCTCTTAACCACAGTGCCACCAGGGCTCCTTATCCACGCCCTCCCTTTCTCAAGTGGACTTTTCATTACTGTGAACACTGACACGAGCTTATTCCCACCCTGTGTTTATCCCTTCATTCCTATAGACAGATCAGCTTTTTCACTCAGTCTGCATCATGGTTACATCACTATGTTCCGATTGAAATAAAACTCAGAGATAACCTAGGTCACTGTCTCTAGCAGCCCTGAACTGTGGTGACGCTTTGGAAGTATCCCTCCCAAAGCAAGTTCAAAGCCATTTCCTCTCTCTTCTGTTTCCTTGCATGACTGTCCTCTGGAAATAACTTTTCTTAGAACCACCACCTAGAAACCAATAAAGGCTGCTTCTCACTTTTTATGGAGTGTTCTTTTCCATACAGGTTTTCCATCTTGTGGGTCAAACCCTCACAGCCTCATGGCATCTAATACCGAGAGCTATGCTGTCCCCAGGATCTCTGACAGAACTGGCTTTTCATTATTTCCTGATGAAAGGACACTCACAGGTCTCTGGGGCCACATAGGACAAGGCCCTCAGGCTGAGCCTTGTGTAGTTTTCAAGTTTGGGGTGGGAGTCACTTTTGTCATGACTTGTGTTTTTAACAGCACTTTATAAAAATGCCTAAAATCGTAACTCTGGGAGCTATAACTCAATTATACAATTACTCGGTCGAAGGAATTGCAAAACCAATTAGAACATATTTTCAGAGGCATCCCTCCACATGGAAAACCAAGATGATAAATCTCTGGCTTCCACAGCTTTGCAAGTTAGCAGTCTTTGCAGAAGGCTGTGGGCCAGGCT